GGTTAGCTCATATCACATAAAACCATGCAAATTGTTATTATTGTTATACTTTATTCTCAAATTATTAATGTTAAAGGGCTCATCGGATGCTACGTGCACTTTTACAAGTTGTTTAGGATGTAATAATGAACATAGCAGTCGTCATTTACTCCTGACATCTGAGCTGCTGAAGACGCAGTGGACTACGTTTGTTTTTGAAGGGAATGCACCCCCGATCTACCTAAATGCGTCTATATTAGCGCAAATCATTCGTGATCCAGCTTCACCTACAGAAGAAGTGAGTATAAGGTTTTTTAATGAATCTTTGCAAATCGCCTTTCCTAATAATGTGCTAATTAGCCAGTTTCACGATGAATGCGGCTAAAGTAAACAGTCCCTCAGAGAGCGGCTCAGAAGAGAGGGGCGGGGTCAGCAGAGCTCATTAAAATTTAAAGGAAAATGTTACAAAACGGCTTGCTCTGAAAAGAGGTGTTTTTGACAGGGTAAAAAGGGTGTTTTTTACACTGCCATTGAGAAATTTTAACCAAACTATGTTACAGACTTTTCATTAAGACCCTAAAGAATCATATCAACTTGTGGAAAATGGGCATCCGATGACTCCTTTAACAACATCAGCACTGCGGTCTAATCTCTAATTGTCATACCATTCGAATTTCATATAAAGAAATTCTTTTAACCCAAAAAGATAATTATGCCATGCTCGAATTTCCCGCGAAAACCTACCAGTACCACTCAAATTTGAAAACATTATAAGATAGACGTTGTAAACACTGCTTGGTTATGTACTTGCTCAAATATTGATTTCGGATAGTTTTTAACCAAAAAAAGTTACGGACTGCAGCTTTAAGTTAACATTCCAACAGTCTACAGTCTATTCTATTAGAGCACTTCAACCAGGCCAAAAGTTGGTTTAGCTTTAACATGCTCTCTGCTGAATTAAGTCTATTGTATGCAGATTACCAGACAAATGAAACTTTTCAATCTTCAATTCAGCAAACTAATAATGTTTTACCACACTTAAAAAGACAGTTCACCCAAAAACTCCCCCTCATGTCGATCCAAACCTGTATGACTTTCTTCTGTGGAACTTAAAAGTTTTGGTTACTGTTGATTCCATTGTATGAAAAAGAAACTGAGACATTTCCCATGTTATCTTTTATGTTCCAGTAAAGAAAGTAAGTAATACAGGTACAACATTAAAACAACACAAGGCTGAGTAAATAACACAAGTTTCCTTTTTTTGGGTGAACTGTCTCTTTAAAAACTACCAAAAAAAGTAATGTTTTTGTACATGTATTGTGGCATTGCTAAGGGTTTTTGAGCATAGCGTCATGGTAGTCCCATGCAAATAACTTTGATTTTTCATAATTTTTTATGTACCTGTGTTCTGTGAAGAACCTTGCTTATGTAAATACCATGTATCATTGCCATTTTCTTCTGTGCACAGAATCCTCTACGCTTAATCCATCATGACTGATCTTGATACTGATTTCACCAGTGGAGATGCTGGGGCTTCTCTGACCTTCCCCGTGCAGTGCAGTGCTCTGCGTAAGGTCAAGGTCAAGGTCAAGTTTATTTATATAGCACCTTAAAAGCAAGGTTTCTCAAATATAAAACGAAGAGGGAGCAAATACAGGGAGAATAAAATTGGACCCAAAATAGAGCCCTGGGGTACTCCACAAGTGATGGGAACTGAGCTTGATGAAAATTCACCAGTTTCCACCGAAAAGCTCCTATTTGTGAGATACGATGCAAACCAGTCTAATGCAACCAGTCTAACCACCTCTTCAAGGAGGTCTCGGTACTCTTGTTTGGTCCGCTTTTGGTGCGCACCCGAGTGCGATTGCTGCATTCACACCTGCCCAAACAAATCGCACCAAGAAGGACAACAAACTCTAGTGCGATTCAACCGAACTAAATGAGGCAGGTGTGAAAGCACCCTTAGATTCATCCGCGCTGGAGCCGTGCCGGAGCACAACCCATGCAAGGAAGATAATTCCGCAAAACGGCTGCAATTGCAGGTTTTCAAACAGAGATGGCGACAAAGATACAAAACTTACGGTCTGCAGCTTTAAACTAGACTAACCATACTCATTGCCAATGTCCTAAATTTGAACAAATCTACGAATCATTAACTACTAATTACCACGACCTGGCTAACAAAAAGCAAGCGTGTAAAGTTAAACTCCACTACCTTTACCGAATCTAATGCAGTCGGACTCGGAGCAGTATGAGTGCTTGGGCTGGATGAATGACTCACAGCTGCACACAAAGTTAACCGGAACTACTGAATTGACCGACTCATTTAAAGACTGTTTATGATCTCATTAACTGTATAAACCACGATTTTGTTCACAAACTATGGCACATCGTTCGTAATGGAGTAAACAGAGAGGTTCGCATCTGAATCAAGAACTTTTGGCAGGCAGTTATGCTGCGCTGTTTTAGCTTTGCATCAGCTTGACACATGCAAAATAAAACAACTTCACACCCAAACGTGCTGATCCACACAATCGACCGCTTCAGGACACCGTCTTCAATCACCAAATCCTCTTTCCAGAGTTGTGTCCATCCACTCTACTGTATTCAGAGGATTCGCCTATAAATGTTGCGATGCTGGAGCAGAGAACATTGAAAACGCCAGGCATTCCCTTCCAACAAAAGGGAACTTGCACATGCCAGTCCACCTTTACTGCGACGAGATTCTCTCATGCACGAAGAGAAATCGCTTCAGCTGCGTAGTGCTCAGATTTAAGCAGGAAATACAAAACAATTCACAAAATAGTAAAAAGGCAAAATGCCAAGGGGGAAAAAAAACATTATTTTGGATTTACCAACAAATAATGTAATTGATAAAAAAAAGTAGGCCTACACATATCATTGAAAACACGGCAATTGCCTCACCCTGCTATGTCTCAAACACACTGTACCTTTGACCAAAGAGCAAATTAAACCTTTTTATTCAAAGTCAACCTTCCTTAGTTGAATGTATGCAAGTCTTGTAGCCTATTTACTCCTTCAATCAGAAATTACTAAATATGATGATATTGGAGTTCATAGGTCATTATATTTAATCTGTACTATTATCAACTACCAAAAAGTTTAGTTTATTGGAGAAGGAATTGAAGACTACTTTGAGGCTCCCATTCAGCTTCAACAAGCCTCCACATTCCACCTTTATCAACACTGATAATAATCAGTTTCTTGAGGACCAAATCATATTAGAATGTTTTCTGAAGCATATGTGACACTGAAAAGTTATTTTAAATAATAATATCGCACAATATTAATGTTTTTACAAATAAATGTAGCCTTAGTAAGCACAGACTTCTTTCAAAAACATTAAACATTTACCAAATCCAAAATTGTGAATGGTAGATTAAAGTACAGTAATGTACACAGCATCTTTGCAATAGCTTTCCAGGTACTTTGACACTCATCAAACTGCCACGGAGTATAATTTTAATGGAAGAATGACAAAAGCAACAGATAGCAAAAAGGGTTTCAGCACCATTGTGTTTTTAAAGGCCTTCCTATGTACTGTATCAACAATTCATGAACTCTGCTGCTATTCCTATACTATAGGTGCAAATGTAAATAAAGTAACTGTTATTTCCTAACAGTCTTATGTCCAGTAATGCAAATCATTGCTATGGCATGTTTGTTATTGGAATGATTTACTTTAAAACATTAAGAATTGTATAATGGCAAAAATACACAAATGTAATACCACCACTGTAACTCGAACAAAATGTAAGAATATTATCTATGTACTAACCAACTGTATGTGATGTTCTTTCATAGGTTCATTTTAAAATATTTATCACATATATGCATCCAAGTTTATAATCTTCTTTCAGGTGACTGTTTGAGCTGTATGACACAACCCAATCTCTCTATATTACACTAAAAGGACAAGTCACATTAATAAAATACACTGAAAAATATTATTTTATAATTCCTTTGAAATATCTTTAACAGATATATAACTTTGGGAATATAAAAATAATATACAATCATTTAAGTCTCAACATCAGTTGCACCAAGGCCAGTGCATGTCTATATTGTGCACCATCTTTCACAATTATGCTGTTGTGTTTAGTTAATCTCTTTACCTGCTTCTAGACCAATTATTTCCTGTCAAATGATGAGCTAAGTCATCGAGCTCTCGGTGCGAGGCTCTGTGGAATATACAGCAGATAAGTTCTGTCCTAACAGGTGAGTTCTGTGACAGCAGTAACATCGTTCATTCCACAGTTTTAATAAGATAACGGTCCCTTTCAGGCCTCTGTAGAGCTCTTGAGCTGCACCATCTCAGCCTCTTCTTGAGGTTTGGAAGGGGGGGCTCCACGTTTGCGGTGGAAGACAGCGGCTATCTCCTCAAAAGTCTTCCCTTTTGTTTCAGGTACACGCAAGTAGGTAAAAACAGTGAAGCCGAATAGGAGTACTGCAAAAATGACGAAGACATAGCTCCCACAAAGACCCTAAGGACCAAAGCAGAGTTATTCGTATTTTGAAGACCTTATGTAATGACACATGAATGAACAGGACTGTTCAAGAATGACCAGAATGATCTGCAATTGCCTGTATGCTTAAAGACTCTTTAAAGGTTTTCAAAAGTTTTTGTCATTTTTTTAATGCCATATACTGACATCTAGTGGCTTTAAACTGCTAAACATGCTTTATAGGGGGGAGAAATATACTAGGTAAATACTGGGAAAAAACGTCTCAATTACCCCAAATTCAATGTAAATATTTAAATATTTTGTTATTATTATTATTATTATTATTATTATTATTTATGATTTTTCTAGCAGTTTGGTGTACATTTGTATATTTATTCATATATGTTTTGTATTCCATTTTTATTAAACATTTATTAATTAACTATTTTATTTATATATTGTTAATTTATAATTATTTTATATTTTTTAAACATTTAATTTTATTATGTTATTTTTTATTTTATTTTATTTTATTTTTTTCTAGGGATTTGGTGGTAATGTTTACATCACCACCAGACTTTTGGGTTCCCCCACCACCAAAATTCCCTCCCAATTCAGCCCCTGGTTACCAAGATAAAATTAACCTATTTGGCTGCTCATGTGATCACAACATGGTGGCCTTCATGAGGTGACCCTTGTATTTTTATTACGCTGTTTTCATCTATCTGTAGTCTTCATCTCATGTGAGTTCACATTTAAACCATATTTTTCAAAATTACTTAATTTTAATTATTCATCTCGTTAGAGCTAAAACTTTCTTGAGTGAAAATCAGAAAATGACTTTGTCTACTCCATTGCGCTTTCATGCACCAGACTCATCAAAACCTGTTCTGAATGGATTGTTTGATTTAGAGTAGCTCTCGACTCTTTACTCAAAACTGTTTTCACTTGCAGGCTGCCCTTGAACTAGCAGAGATAAACACTGCAAAGTCCCCGATAACATATGGCTGCTCTCCAGCTCTATGAGCCGAGAGAAGACAGGCTTTAGCCACCTCTCCAGATCCAGCAGTTATTATAACTTAATCCGTTCACAAGATTCAAGGTGAGATGTCTCACTGGGTCATGGTATATTAAATATGAGCATGATTGATAATGTCAGCACAGATTTGTATAAATCTAACCTAAATAAATGACACATTTTGACACATCACAGTGCTAATGAGAGCTGCTCTGCCTTCAGTTGCAATCTGTTGTCTAAAGAAACATGCTCTCAACTAAGTTGGAAAATCTGCAATATCAGTCTTGAGTTATTATCAAAAAGCATTAAGAGAAAGTAAGACCCGAGAGGCAACAGCACTCTGCTGTTTCTAAGAGACAAGAGCCTGTTCCTCAGCAGCCAGTGTTTGCCTTTAAATTAGTGTCTGTTTACCGACACAAGGGTGAAAATGATGTTTATAACTCCCACTCCAATAGTGGCATACACAGGCTGACCAACCCCCGCAGTCTGGAAGATCGAAGTAGAGTAATAAAAGATCTAGAAAAAACAACAAAGAGAAGATCAAATATTACAGTTGTCTAATAGTAATGGGGTCCATAAAATGTCAATCGAAATGGTTTTTTTTCAATATAATGGGAGCATAAAGGCAGATTGAGCGTACAGCGTTGATCCCAGAGAACTGCTGGGATAAATGCATCATCAGGGCCACAAAGAGCTGCTGGCGGTACACAGAGGAACGGAGCAGCCGCAGGATGGACATTTGCGCCTCCTTCATGGCCTCCTCTTTCTCTGCCTGCAGTGGGTGAATGATAAAAAAAATTGACAGCCGATCAAAATACATTCAACTTTAAAGTCGGATGGATAAACATCTGGTTAGAATAAACATTACATAATCGTCTGTTGGTGTGGACGCTAATATCTTTTTAGTTTTCGTTCTTGGTGTGAAGAAGCTTTTAGAGAGAAGACAATGAATTAAATTGTAAAACATTACACTAAGACAGTTTTAGTAGCACGTTAAAAAATAAATAAATAATTCAGTAATTTAATTTTTTTTAAACTAGTCCTAATATAAGATTAAGGTCCTGATGTTTTTTTTAATGTAGTAATGTTACAGAAATAAAGCTGTAATGTTACAAGAATAACGTTTGAATGCTACAAAAATACATTTATAATTTTAACAAAATAATGTCAGTGTTGTGAGAATAAAATGTGATGTTACAAAAATAAGGTCATAATGTTAAAAACATTTATTTGTAATGTTACAAAAATAAAATGGTAAGTTACAAAAATATGGTTGTAATGTTAAAAAAAGAAAGTCATAAGGTAAAGAGAATAAAGTCACATTGTTTTTGAAATAGTCAATGTTGTGAGAATAAAGTCGTAGTGTTACTAGAGTTTCTTTCAATTTAAGAGATTAAAAACATAATATGGCCTTTAAAAAAAAGGTTAAAAAAAGGGGTTTTGAGGGTAAAAATGTTTTTATCAGCTTCATCAATGCAGAAAATGGATGTGGAGGATTTAGATTGACTAGCATGTGTCAGTATTTACTAAAAAAAGAAATTCTTTTGGCAAATCAGCACAGAGTTATCATTAGAATCCGGCAGTGAAATGTCGGAAATTTAATTTATTAAGGAGAAGGAACCAGACGGACATTCAGGAAATTGCCTGTTTTGTGCATCTGTAATTGCAGCCAGTGGTCAGCTCCACTTCACTTTGATGCTACTTTCCTTATTCTCATAATACTAACTTGAATCTCAAAAAAATTTATTCTTGTAGTTTTGACTTTATTCTTAAAATGATAGTACTTTAGTGTCATAATGTTGTGACTTTTTATTTCTCTACACTTTAAGACTTCATTCTCATAAAAAGCCTATTATGAGATTATGAGTATATGTTTAAACATACATTGTCCAAGAGTAATGACTAAGAAAGGCTTTGGCACATACTCTTGCATGCTTCTTCCACTTTGCCTAGTTTGATGTAGAGATATCGAGGACTCTCTGGACACACAAGCAGCAGCAGACTCTGTAGGATAGCAGGAGCTCCAGAAAGACCCAGCAACACGTGCCACATGTCATCATTTCCCAGCACGAAATCCAGACCAATGACCTGTAGATAACAAGGACACCTGCACACATCTTACAGATGTCTAATAAGAACCGAAAAAGAGTTACTAGAAACCCTAGACCCTAGACCTCATGAGTATCTTACATCACTTTTTTATCACAGTTGTTTCAGCTGATTGTAATACAGATTTTCCATGGAAGATCATGTATGGTCATGCTATTTTATTTAATAATATCAACTATTCAGTTAATATTCAGTTCTCACTATGAACAGTTTAACCCTTATTGTGGATTAGATGTATTATAAAAGTGGCACTCACTTGACTTATAAGGATGCCAATTACAATAGCCAGCTGGTGAAGTGCTCCCATAGCACCTCTGTACTTCACTGGAGAAATCTCTCCAATGTACAGAGGCACCAGGCCAGATGACAGACCTATAACACGTGTGTCATATATGAACAAGTGTGCAGTCAAAACATATTGCATATACAAACATAAAACAGGCAACAATATAATAAAACAAATTTAAGTAAAAAACTTTTAAAAACTGTAGCAGATGAAAAGTGATTGTCTATAAGTGAACCATGAATCATTCACTCAACCGATTCGTTTAAAATAACGATTCATTTAGGAATGAAGCAAATGGCTGCCTCTATGTGTGAGTCATTGAATAATTCACTCAAATGATTTGATCAGGAAACACCGCTACCGGGTGCTGCTCGGAGACGCAACGGTTTCTGCTGTACTTTGTTTGAAATTACTTTCGTTGTAGTCATGAGAGGATTGGATCTTTTACTTACTTGATCTTTAAATCTCATTCAGCAAAATGAACTAATATTATTCAAAGTCAATTTCAATTTCGCTCATTTAGTTAATTTGAGCTTAAATTAGTTCAATTAAAATTATATATATATTTTCAATAGCCAAATTCCCTGAACACATCCACATGTGCAATCGTTGATCATATTGTGAATTGGAAAACAGTTATGCAGCCAAAGACAAAGACAAATGATGAGAAACAGAAATTGTAAGTTCTAAATGTGTCTTCTAGTTCAAATCGTCTGTTCTTTCATTACATGACACAAAATGAATGAATCGCTCATGAACATCACTATTTGGAGCAAAAATAGACAAAATAACTGGGACTGTTGAATGTGAGTTGTTTATTTATTTGATTATTGAACTGCTGTATAAAAGCAATATCCCACTTTCTGAGATTCGAAACAGCTTGCTGTACAGTTCTTGCTGGTGTGATGTTGCTTTTGAATTTTTACATTACTAGATTAAGGTTATTATTATTGTTATTTAAAAAGTTTCCTTTTTATCTTATGTACTCATGCTGTTTTTTCTTATTTGTTTTTAATACATTTTAAATACATTTTACTCCATTTTTATATTTTTTTACCATTTATTATTTTTTATTTCTTATATGGTCTTATGCATGATAATTTTATGATAATTTTTAACAATTTTAATCAATTATTAAAATTGATTAAATTGCCTTGCTTTTCTCTTAAAGGAGACATATTATGCCCCTTTTTACAATATGTAATATAAGTCTCTGGTGTCCCCAGAATGTGTCTGTGAAGTTTCAGCTCAAAATACCCCACAGATAATTTATTATATCATTTTGAAAATGCCTATTTTGAGTGGAAGCAGAAACATGCTGTTTTTCAGGCCTGTCTCTTTAAATGCAAATGAGCTGCTGCTCCCCGCCCCCTTTTCCAGAATAGAGCTGCTCAATTACATCTCGTACCTGCTAAAAACATATGTTTTGGTTCTGATTATCATGTTTATCGCACTGAAATCATGCGTTTTAAACCATATTAGCTTAAAGTGGAAGTGAAGCAGTCAGTTAAGTTAACATTATTTAGTAAAGTGATTTTC